ACCGTTAGCAAAAAAGAAAAAAAAAAAAAAAAAAAGAAAGAAAAAGGCGAGGACTTACACTTTGCAAGGCGCATCGGGCGCGTCTTGGAGCAGCTCATCCTCGCCAAACCCCTGGCTCCGAAGGATCTGTTTGACGGCTTGCTCCAATTTGCCCGAGTCAAACCTACCCTGAATCTTGAGCTTCCAGCCAAACCGGTGGTTCTTCTTCTCGAAAACCTTCCCGGACAGCGCAGTGTAGGCGGTGATGCACTCCGTAACGCTCATACGCAAGCGACCCAGCATGATGGCTATGAGCCCACCGGTGCTGGTGCCGCCGATCATGTCGAAGTAGTCGCAGGGTTTCGGTGGGCATTTGCTGTCGATAGTGCGCATCAGATGATCGAGAATCATCAGCGATGACAGGCCACGGACGCCGCCGCCGTCCAGTGAGAGGAGTCGGATCGTATTGCCCGGCATGATGGTTATAACTTATGGGCCGTCTGGCATGATGAGGGAAATTGAGAATGAGCTAAGTCTGCAGTTCGATGGACGGAGAATGGACGTGATGGAGGAGGACGGGGGACGACAGAGAAACAACGGACAAAGGACGGAGGAAGAACTGGCTCTTGCTCTTGGGCCCTGTCGCCTGTGAGCCTGTGACTGCTTTAAAAGCAGTAGGCTGGCTCTCAAAAGCTGTTAGCCACAGGCTCAATAGCCGCCGGCCACAGGCATGCCCAGGCCACTCCAATCGATACCTAGGACGTCGTCGCTGGGTTGCCAAATAAGTCGGCTCTTATGGTTGGCTCGTCAAAAATCGGGTTGATGGACAGCCGACTCAGGAGTGAGGACTCACAATTTCAAGCTCGTGCCTAAACCGATCATTCCAGGCATGGTTAGGAGACCAGAAGACCATGACTGGTCAAATCCATCCAGGAATACCAAACTTTGATGCATGTCTTATTTTGCGCCGTACTTTAATACCGGCCATCACTGAGAAATGATGAATCGAGGCCGACGCGACGTGATAGGTGAAGTGCATATCGCTAGCGACTTCATTGGCTGGACAGGTAAACAGGCCTTGACCTTGTCAAGTTGTCCTGCTTGAGTCCTTATCTCTCACGGCCCGACCTCCATCAATGTCGTATCATCAATCCCCTCGTCATCAAATCCACGTCCATCTTCAGCGTAGACCTCTTCCTCTTCCGAATTGTCTTCTCCCTCGTCCACTTCCATCGGCTCTGGGTCTCCCGTTTCGTCCGAACACTCGGCCGAGAGATCGCGTCCCTCTTCCACCGCCGCCATCTTCATCACAAACTCCTCCTGAAGCTGCCCCAGGTAGGTCCCGAGCCGCTTCCCTTCCATGCCGGAGGCATGAATCAGTTTGAGCTGTTCGTGCAGATGGAGCACCAGCCTGCGTCTGTTGACTACTTTCCACGCGTTCGGGTCGTTCTTGTCAGATGCTCGCTTTTGCTGAAGGCTCCTCGCCACTTCTTCGGCTTTCTCGATGAACCCAGGAGGAAGATCGACCTGCTTAGCGAGCATAATTCCGTAGTGTTCATCTTCGGTCTTCCCCGTTTCCACGCTAAACAGCCTTTTCATCCGTGGTATTCCATCCCCCGGATTGGACTCGATCCTTGATGCTAAATGCAGATTCATCACCCCGGGACGATCCACTAACACCTCAGCTACAATATTAAGACGCGAGGAAAAAGTTAACAACCACTGGCATAAAACGAAGGGCGAGTAGCACGGGCCGAGAAGACGTACCAAGATCGTGAAAGTGTGTCACAAACCAGACAGATGCCCGGCTCTGAATTAACGCCTCGGCCATGGCTATGGCAATCGAGAGCCCATCTCGTGTCGACGTCCCTCGCCCCAGCTCATCTATGATGACGAGACTCTTTCGGGTGATATTCCTGTGAAGAATCAGCCACATCAAGTTATCAACTCGAAAGGTGATCGACATAACAAGACTGATGGGGTACTCGCGCTACCTCAGAATAAATGCCATCTCCCGCATCTCCACTGAGAACGTGGACAAGTTTGCGGTTAGGTCATCATCAGTCGATGCTCGCACAAATATGCTCTCCATAATCGGGAAAGCCGCATAGTGCGCCGGCACGAAGCATCCTATTTGTGCCATGATCTGGAGGAGGGCCACTGTTCGAATGTATGTGCTCTTGCCGCCCATGTTGCACCCCGTGATGATCTTGAACCGGAACTCCTCCGTCGAGTAGATGTCGTTCCGAACGAATTGGTCGTACATTTTCTGTCTCCCTTGTGAATACTCTGAATTGATAAACCAAGCCAACGAACCGACCTACCATGTCCAGGATAGGATGCCGTGCCGCCTTGATTGCGAGCGTCCCTGTCATGTCCGGCCGTACATAGTCTCGCAACGTGACGACGTGGCTGAATGACGCCAACATGTCGAGCATTCCAACGGCATCACACACTCGGAACATGGGCTGGATCTGTGTCCGAATCCTGTCGAGAAGGTCATGGATCGCCTGGTCTCCGCGGATGAGTGTTTCGTCCACAGCATCCTGTACACGAGCGTTAAGTTGCTTTAGACGAAGCGTCAGGCACTCGAGGAAGCCTTTTTTTACGACCCGATTGACCAGTACTTCGGGGATGCCCCTATCCTCAAAATCAACAGCTCGGAACTGGAGCCAGTACTTCCTGCCGGGGTCATATTTGAGCTGCGCTGCCACGCCCAGCTCCTCTTGTGATCACACGTCAGACCCGGCATCTAGGGAAAAGACGGGAAATGTTCCTACTTACCACTCAACTGAGCAACATAGCTATGAATGTCTTGTGTCACGTCTCTGTACACGTATCTAGCAACATCAAGAAGGTCGTCGATCGTTGGCTGCGCACACAGCGGGTTAGAACTCGGAAACTCCGGACATCGAGGCAATGAAGGGTAATTATAAGACCAAGTGCGACCTCACCTTGATGGCAAACATGCGCGCATTCCGCATGTCGAGAGGTGATTTCATGAGAGCGATGTCTTCTTGAATCACTTCAGCGATCATCTCCCGGACCGGTTTTGTCAGGTCCGGTCCGCAAATCCCCCGTATCTGACACAAGAGATCAGATTCAGCAGACGCCAAGGCCTCGTAAATGTTTGGAACTGCGTCTAGAAAGGTCTTCGTCAAGACCACATCGTTGATGGCATACTCTGCCGCGCTCAAGCTCGGCTTCTTGGGGATCAAAACCAACTGTCCAAGTCAGCGACAAGTGTCAAGTGCCCAGCCAGCCCAGTCCGCTGCAACCCAAGTCTGGCTTTGAGCTCACCTTGGTCAAAACTCGTTCTGCATCGGGGAAGGATTTGAGTGCTGTGTCAATTTTAATTAGTAACCTAACTCATGGGTATTGGCTCGATCTTAATACCGTTGCGGACAGCTGTGAAAATCTCTTCCGACGACGTAAGCTCCGCAACCGCGTCATGACGTAGTTTGAGTACAGGATCCAGACAGGTCGAGGGCTGTAATATGTTGCTTCGCAGCAGGCGAGCGCCCATCGGTGTTCGGGTGTGGTTCAACAAACCGAACAGGCAGTCCTTGGATCCAGGGTTGCGGAGATTTTGGAGTAGCTCCAGAGACCGGATAGCCGACACGTCGATCATCATTGTATCTTCAGAAGGCTCATACCTCACTCGGAGAGAGTGCGGCACCACCCTGATGGCTAATTCCAGGTCTAGGTACTTCATGGCCTGCCGGAGCGTTAGCAGAAGAAAAGAAAAAAAGGGGGGGTTAGTCCGGCGCTTCAGACTGGCACACGCACAGCAGCAAAGGCGCAAGTGGTATAGAAGTTCCCGTGGATGGCGACCTTGACGGTTTCTGCATCGTCTCGGGGAGCCAGGGTGTCCAGGTACTGCTCTCCCGCAGACTCTGACCAGTGTTTCCGGTCAAAGAAGATGATCCGAGCAGAGGGGACATTCTCCTCTATCATGGGCCGCATATGAGACTTGGGATTTGCTGAACCAGCAGAAGCGAGAAGAAGGATACGAGAGGGCTCTAGCACATGCAGCTTGTGGATGGTCTTGGAATAGAACTGAGAGTCAGATATATGGGTGAGAATAACTTCGCTGGTCGAAATGTTGACAAATGCGGCACCGACGGACGGAGTGACACCCCGGGCTTCGCTCAGAGCGCATATTACTTGAGATGCCTCGGTCGTTGTAGAGAAGGGGGTGTATCTGGAGCCTCGGCTCGTATACGTGGAGCTCGGACGGGTGATTGTCGTGGTTTCGGGATAAGAGGACTTGCTGTATGAACTAGGAACGGATTCTTGAACATGTCCAGCGACCTTGCGGTCGTCATCGCTACCATCAGAATTGTGTTGCTGGTCGTACGGCTCGCTGGTTGGATTTCTACCGGTAGAGAACGGGGTAGGCCGAGGCGAGTTTCGATTTGAAGCTTGACGAACTTCGGGACGATCGTGCTCAGCGAAGTCCTGGCCATGATTCTCACGATATAGTTGAGAGTCCCTGAACGGACTCCCAGTTGACCGAGGGAAATACTGGCTGGATGACTGACAAAACGGTCGCATAGGTGGCTGGAGAAAGGAGCGACGGGATAACTGGTTAGATGGCACAGAAAAGGACTGGTGAGCGAGCTGATCCGATGGTTCACGAGGGAGCGGCCCGCGAGCATAAGATGACGTTGGGGCCGGTCGAGTAGGAACGGGACTAGGGGATATGGGCTGATGGGAGGAATATTCGACTGCGTTTTGCAAAAGAGGACGACGCTCTAGGGAATCCTGAGGACCGGTCACAGGAGATCGGAAAGCAGAGGCGACGTCGACGTTTTGGACGCCCAGAGAGCCCGCACTAGCGTTCTCAAGGGTAGACGACCCGGGTTGGTAGTGAGTTAGTTTCATGCGAGCAGTCTCGTAACCAACCTCAACCGGGCTTTGACACGACACAGAGGCCGTATAAGGGATAGGGGAGGACACATTTGGGCGAGGAGAAGATGCGTCTGAATCCGCAAAGAACCTGGAAGCTCGGTAGTACTTGGGTGGGTGTTCAGGCTGAATAGAGGATTCCTCTGTCTCAACATGGGACGACCATTGAGCTGGGAGCAAGGAGGGGCCAGCTCCATCGCCAGACGAAGAAGAGCTTGCTTGATCGAGAAACGGGGCTAGATGAGCCAGCTCCCGTTGTAAATGCTTATGGTTGATCTTTTGGTTGTGAAACATCGCGCCAGATTTGTCCTATATCGAACTGGTTTGTTGGTTTGTTGAGTGTTTGTCTCAGATGTGAACTCGATGACTCTTTGGTTGCTGGTGGACGAAGAGGGAGACGGCACCTCTCATCTCGTGAGACGACTGACACGACTCGGACAAGAGACCTGGTACAGCGCAGAGGGACGCAAGAAGTGCTGCATAAACCACTGGCAGCGGAGTTCTAAGTGTAAAAACGCTTGGAATATGGCTCAATTGAGGGAGGAGTGGGATGGATGAGGAGTGTGGTGTAAATGCAGAGCAATGCTACCCGGCCCAAGGCCCCAAGACGGTTGAGAACGATGTGGACGAAGCAAAAGAAGCCATCCAGGGAAGCGTAGCCATACTGCAGGAAGGAAGACCCCAGGATGCCTTCCTTGGTACAGTTTCCATAGTACCAAGGTAAGACCTTCCCCTTCTAGAGTTTCTCTGATAAAGAAAGTGCAAGCGCATCCAAAGCAAAATTCATCGAGTGGAAGGAACGAAGGACGTTGTTCAAGTGCGAACTGACCTCGGTCAACAACGGCTGGAGCACAGACCATATTTAGTACCCAGGTACTTCGTACTTGTCCATTGACCGACCCCCCTCTCCACTACCTTACCTGAACCACTTGTTTGCACAGGCTGATTCTTCAAATCCGCACAGCTTCCAAGGCCCTCGTTTGCAGGCTCGCGACGACGGAACAGTTGATCGAGTCGCGCATCGCGAATTGCGAATTGCGAATTGCGAATTGCGAATTGCGAATTGCGAATTGCGAATTGTTCACATTCGCGTGGTCTGGTGGCGTCCTGACTGGGGCTCCGTGGCCTTCCCCCTTCCACCGTCGCTGTTTTTGCCCAACAGAGGAGAGAGGAGGACAAATACGACTTGGCAGCAGACCAATCACCAACTCCTTTACTGATACCGTATCCGATAAGCCTACGCAACGCAACGCAACGCAACGCGACACGACACGATATCTTACAGCACAGCACAACACCTCGCAGCACGCGACAGCACGATAGCAGCGGACGGTCAAGATACAGCGAGGCCGGCGGGAGAACGTGAGCCGTCTCCTATGTTCGGCATCCTGGGCTCCATCGATGTCGGCTCCGGCCAGACCTACCCGACCTTCGAGGACCTGTTTAGGGACCTCAAGACTAGGCTCCAGAAGGACGGCTACAAGGTTGTCAAGTCCCGCACCCATCGCAACAAGGTAGCCGGCAACTACGAGAAGGGCAGCGAAGTTGTCCGCTGTGATCTGGTCTGCGACCGGGGCGGCCAGCCCTATAAATGTACCGCCACACAGCTCAAGACGTCGACCAAGAAGACCAACTGTCCCTGGCGCGCCAAGGCCGTGAACCGCAAGACCCTGGGCGCCTGGGTCCTCACTGTCATCTGCGACCAGCACAACCATGAGCCACGGACTCCCGAACCTCCGACAGACGACGAGGAGGAGGAAGCGGATGCTGAGGGAGATACGGAGCTCGTGAATGGTGATGAAGGTGTGTCTTCTTGGCTGTTTCTCTCGTTCTCCCTCGACCCTCACCCGACACCTCTTCGGTTCTGAATGTCGTTACGTGGAGTGCAGCAATTACTGACTGTCGTCCCTTATTCTTTCCCTGCATAGGTCCCCAAGAAAACGAGGCACCGAGTCCCAACCCGGACACGACCGCGGCCTTGGCTGTTGCCGGCGTCATGCCCTCAACCATGCGCCTAACAGGGGATGCGTTCCATCAGTTGAAGAATGAGTACCGACGTATGCCCAGGTCAGAACGAATCGGCATTCTTGCCCAGATGCAGATGCGCATCGCTGCCATCTACGCCATCGAGAACGAGGACATTCAAAGACAGGAGCGCCAGGCGCGACAGGAACGAAAACACCAAGCGATGGGGCAGAACAGGCGTCGGGCAGCGGAACAGCAGCTGCAGCAGCTCCAGCAGCAGCAACACAATCAACATGAACAGCAGCTGCAGCAGCAGCAACCCCAAATGCAGCCTCACCAGCAACAACAGGTACAGCCCCATCCGCAACAACAGGTGCAGCAACAGGTACAGCAACAGGTGCAGCAACACCATCAACAAACGCCGCCACAGCATCAGCAGCACCTACCTCACCAACAACCCCAACAGCACCCGCACCAACATCAACAAACACAACACCAACATCCACAACACCAACATCCACAACATCAACTTCCGCAACATCAACATCCACAGCATCAGCAACACCAGCAGCACCACGTCATGGCGGCCCAATTCGCCAGCATGGCCGCCGGCGCAGCTAAACACCACTTCCAGCAGACAGCCGAAGAAGAACAGGCACAGGCCCAGGAACGACGCCGCCACCTGACGCAGATCGCCCGGGAACACCTCGGCACCGCCGTGCAGCAGGTCCAGCAGATCCCCCAGGTCCCCCAGGTCCCACAGGTCCAGCAGGTTCCGCAAGTCCAGCAAGTCCAACCGGCCCAGCTACAGCAGGCGTCGATACAGGCTGGGGCGGTCCAGCAAACCCCCGTGCCGGTCCCGCAGTTCCCCATGCCGCCGTCCGCCCCGGGGAGTCAGGCTATCTTCCGACACTACACGGGGACGCCGCAGCCGGCGAACCCCCCAGGGACTCCCACACAAGCACAAGCACAACCAAAACGTCGCGGTCGGCCACCCAAGGACGCTGGCAAAGGGACCAACGGTGGAGGTGTATGAGTAGGCTTGATAACTTGTCAAGTCTGTCTGTAAGGTGTCTGTAGGATGGGTTCATGTCAAGAACGACGTCTCCACTTGCTGTCAAGACACCGATATGGAAGACCGGTACAATGTGCTATGAGTCTTCGGACAGGACTTTGCGGGGCGTTATGGGATTTTTTTGCTACGATGTATTTTTCTATAGGCTTTGAGGAAGGGAATATTCTGGGCAGGAAGGGACGGATCTGGAAAGGCAACGGCATGGGCATGGGATACAGGGTGTCGTAACAGACGCGGTCGACTGGACAATGATTTCCTACGATGAAAACGGTATTCTCTGATGATCCTGATTCTAGGCGTCGTCGCATGCCCGCGACGTGTCTTGCGTGAACCTGGCTAGCAGAAGACAACAGGGTTTCTTCTCTCGACCCTGATCCCCAACGCAGTCTGCTAGTATCGCGACTCGTGTGAACCTCTATTTGACGTCGCACAGAGAACCTCTGCCCCCTAGAAGCAGAGCGCCCAACGAGCAGACTGTCGAACGAAACCTCCCCCCCCCCCCCCGGAAAAAAAGGAAAGATAAAAGCCGCGACAGGGTAGACGGAATACTCCACCCACTTGAAGTCCGATTCCTAAATGGCACCACGAACCATTCAGCTGACAACTCGACAACCAAAGAAACCACCCACGAGGTCCTTCTTCGTACGACCCAACCTCACGGATAGCAGCGGGTCATCGTTTTGCGACTCGTCTCCCAGGGCAGACGAGGGAGGGAGGGGGAAGAGACAGCGCAAGAAAAAAAAGTATAAAAAAAAGTAATATCGGTACCGACATTATTTTTGTAATTTTTGGGCAGACGATGCATACGAATACCTACTCGCCCCAGTCGTCGACGACGGACGTCCTAGGAGATTTCAGGACGGTAGGCCGTTCGAGGCCGGCCCCTCCCTCCTTGCAACCCTGCAAGCCTGCAAGCCCGTTTCCCCTTTCCCTTGTGTTTCTGGGTCGCTTTTCTTGGGTCTCGGCTCCGCGCCTAATCTTCTGACAAAAAATAACGGATGTTGTAAGCATTTTTGCTCATCTGCAGGGCCGTCGATGTTTGATGCATGATCCTTGCTGCTTTCCTTGGCCCTTTGAACTGTACCTATCCTGCAGAATCACATGCTGGACGGACCGGAGCTGATGGAATGAATGGCTGTCGGGCCTCAAAAGAGGAGGGGGAAAAAAGAACAAAAAGAAAAAGGCGCGTCGCATCGCGTCGCGTCGTGGTGACTCTACTCCTGTGCCTTGACAAATCTGCGACGAAACGTATTGACGATACCCCGGGGTGCGACGCGAGCCAAAAGGGACGTACCTTACGTTAGAAAAGCGATGCTATGTACCTACCTTACGTGCTGGCCCGGGCCGTGCCTTATCTTCTATGGTTCACGATATCCCCTATGATAAACACACTTGCTCCACTAGTGAAGCACCTAACAATAAATAACCTCAGCTCCAGGAGCAGGGGCGCGTGGGTAGGAGGCGCCAGGGGAGCGGATCAGAAAAAGCCCTCGTCCTTTTGTACTTCTTATCCCTGTCTGCCCTTGCTCCTCCGTACAGGACGAAAGTTGCGATTAGGGGATCTTCCGAGATCGTTGTATGTAAGCCTCGCATAATACACGTGGCTCTCTCCACGACGGAACCCCTACCTACAGGTACCTGTACCTGATAGAGCTCGTCGTCCATTACTCCGGACGAGACACAACTGCAAAAACCATGGAAGAGGCGTGATCTGCCGAAACAAAACGCAACACGGGGCGTCAGGGCTGGTGGAAGGGTAACGTGACATCTCGATCGCTCAACACCTCCCAAATTTATCTCACGATGCAAGCACACATACCTACCATAGTGGTTCGAGGGTATGCTGTAGGACTGGAATGAGTGGTGGATCAGTTCTCGATAAGCAGTTGCCCTGAGCCACGTCAACGTCACAAATAGGAGAGGGGGGGAAAAAGGGAAAGAAAGGCGCCGAAAATGGTGTTCATCAGCAAAGGGTCACAAGGTGAAGCAGGAACCAATATGGTTTCTTTCCCATCGCCCGGTGGGAAAATTGGGCGTCTGCGGTGTTACCATCGGAGGATCACGGAAGCCAGAACACTCCTCACTTTTGCTGCGCTTTTGGCCAAGGTTTTCTGAAAATAACAGCCAGAAGGAGCGTAGGAACTGCGCATCAGGTCAGTGTGAGATGGGAAACACCAGCGTTAGATTGCCCTGTGTTGTCTGTTGTCAAGATTGAGCCATATTGTACGATGCACGAAGTACGAACGTAGCTATGGCTGGCCCCCTTGGAATCTTCTCCTACTTTCTGTTTGACATCAACCCATTGGTCCATGATGTGGAGGGGGAGTGTAGTTGACGGGAGGACGGGCGATTGGTTCCGGCTGGGTGTGGTGGGGTCGCTGAGCTAGCTAGGTACGACAAGACATCATCGCCATAGGTAGGGAACACGACGCCCATGGCGATGATTGCTGGAAGTTCCGTTTATGGTGTTTTTTCTTTTCCCACCTATTGCCGAGGTTGATGCCGACTAGCCACGAGGTGACACGCTGCGATACCACTGGACGAGAGGCGAAAAGGCCGCATACGTAGTTGCTTTCAGGGGATTTACCCTATGGCCGGCCCGTCAAGCAGCAAGGTAGGGCCCTCTTCAACGTTTTTGCCTCATAATCGATTTTTTTCCCGGCGTCTGTGGTGTCGTTGTGTCGTCGCCGTATACCTGACACTGATATATGGTACTTGGTACATGGGTGCCCGACGAACCTCGAAATGGGGCGGATCGAGCGGCCGAGCAAAGGATGGAAATGAAACCAGGGTGAACCGGTGAACGGGGCCGGCTGGGCGCGGTTGAACTCTCCCTGGATTGCGCCTCTATCTTTCTCTTCGCTCCCCGGGAAAATACGCGCTAGCAAGTTCATCGACGATGGCAGCCTGAATGAACCTTAGGTGGGATGATTGGTTGAGACTGCATCACGGGCCAAAGAGAGGGAGGGGGGAAAGGGGTTGCGTCTGTAAGACCGGGCAAGGTACCGAGGCGGTGGCGAGTAAGGTACGAACTGATAACCTGTATGGAAGGGAAGAAAAAGAAATCCGGGGTTAGATCTGTTGTTTTGAGCCTCACACTGCATTGTCAGCCAAGTTAAGAGTCGGGTAACACTTCACACTTCGTACACTACATCGCAGGATGTATGTCTTGGAGGATCTGAATGCGATCGTCGCTGGCTTGGGTTGTTTGCAGAAGACCTTACACTAGCTGAGACCACGGTTGAACAACCACACAGTAACTCCCTTGACTTCGAATTTTGGTTGGAGGGGGTTATGAGAACGAAAGGAGGGGCCCAGTGGCGGGGCATCCCTGGGTCTTCGTCATGTTGTCTGGCGTACGACATTTATTAGCACTTGTCGAATCCGGGATATCAGGACAAAAGACATTCAGTATTCAGTATGGATAAGCGCTGCGAGGGGTCGAATTTTTGTTTTCGGCTGATCGCCGCCCTTGGGCCGTGGCTAAGGAGGGAACTTGAAGAGGCATTGAGCATATTGGCCATTCGGGATTACGAACCTGCACCTCACGGAGTAAACCACGTACGACATACAACGTAGGTAATGTCATTGATACCTAGTTTGTATTCGCACCCTACTGAGTACCGGGCTCTTAAGCCCAAAAACGGGATTAGTTCATACCTAGTGTTAATTACCTAGTCCATGCAGTCAGTTAGCTTCTTCGGCTGGCAGCTGTAAGGGACAGGCAACACAGGCAGCTGCAGACTGGAATCTTCTAGACACCCGAATTGGCTCCTGAGTACGGATACAGAGCTCCTTCCATACAACGCAGAATTCGAAAGAATCTTGTTCAATGCGACGCTGAACCCACAGATTGTTTGAAGTTTCAAAAGCTCACATTTTGTCGGAGTATCAACCCGTGATCCGTCTCGTAAAAAGGATGGAATGCATGCAATTATTATAATGGAGCGGGAAATTTGGGCGTCAAGGCGGAACATTGTTGATACGGTCCTGTCGGATGACGGAGCCTGCAATGCCAAGCCTTCTTATTTCCGTGCCCTTACTCAGGTCTACACGAATCATTTACGACAGAACACGGCGAAGACGTGATTAATTACTATGTACGAATATTTGTTCCTGTGACTCTGAGAGTTGGGGTAGGGCGACGTCGAAGGAAGCAAAGACAAACGTCATCCCGGATGGATACAGGTAGTTGGGGTACGGGAGTACGTACCCCAAGCCGTCGCACTCGCAGATGGGGAAAGCCGATAAGAAAATTTGCCTTGTCTCACCTAACGTACGGAATACCACAGTTCTTACTTACACCATAACCCCTGTTCCCTGTCCTTTCTTTCCTATGTACGTATGTACAGTATTCGTCTTGGCTCCTCTTCCGTACCTAGGATAACCAGAGCAAGATGAATACCAAAGGACGAACTCCGCTCCGTAAGCCACAGTTCAAGCTTTTGGACCGCCCCAAATACGGAGCACGGACGGGAGTGCCCATTGGATGCGTCCTCATTTGGACACCAATTACGATAGCAACGACGGGTCTAGAACCGGCAAGAACCACAACCATAAAGAGCCAGACAGAGAGAGAGGAGGCCAGACCACCCAAATGACCATGGGTTAGCTAATACATACCTAACAAGCTCTCGAAAGCTGACTTACAGAGGGAAGATCGAAAAGTAAGAGGACAAAACTCGGTTGAGAGGGTGTAATAATTACGGGCGGTTAATGGCGGTTAATCTTTTTGACCCGATAACAGATCAAATCAAAACCACAGAGCTTCTAGCCGTTGAAAGTTGTTTATATCGGTGCCACTGTACTTCATACGCAGTACGATGCTTCGTAGACGGGTAGTCGTTGGGGAGGTTGAAATAACACGCCAAGAACACGTCCAAACGTCATCGTCTTACTGACATGCGGTACCTTGCTGATGTGTCCCTATCTCGCACCCAAACACAATAACGTACATACGTTGTACATCGCCTTTTCCTCGGTATGCTAATGTTGCCTTGCAGATCATCAGTCTTAACCCTAACAGTCGGACCAAACCCTCCTGTACGAAGTACAATTTTCAAAGATAGGACGTCTCTCGATCCTAGGGCCTTACCTTAGGTCATAACCGCACTTCCCGCAATTCGTGTTATCAATGACGCATTGGTCGTTGTACGAACTCAGGGTCTCTTGATCGAGGCTCGTCCACATACTGACAGGGCGACATTGGCACGCGTGGATGAAACGAACTGTTCAAGCGTTCAAGAGGATTTTGCGGAAGCCCATCATCGCGTCTTTTCGAAGTGAGAAAAAGTGGTGAGTTCCATGGTTCGGAATACTTCGTATAACCGACAAGCCCCTTAAAATGGCGCAAGACTGTCTGTGGAGAACCATTAAAGAACTTCCCCCCACCAGTGACGCATTACACCTCACCTAATAATTACAGGTATATTCCGTATATACGTCAACGGGCGCCGGCGTCACTTCTACACGTACTTGGTCGGTATCTTGGGGGAAGCAATACGTACGAAGTACGAAGTACGGATACTTGGTGAACACCGGAATAGCGCCAGGTCCACCCGACCTTTGCCTGGGTCCACTTCTCCTCGGACATCCCCACTAGCATTGGCTTGACTGGTTGCATTGGCTCCCTCCCCCCCAAAAAAATGCATCATCGCTTTTGCACGTCGACGGGCACCAAAATCGGCATCATGGGGAACAATACCGCTGTCCACACCCCTGTCGACCAGGACACTCACTCCTCCGTACGGAGCTATGAATGGCTCTGCCCCTCGCCTTAGGCGGGCGAGCTGCAGAGTACATATGGTGCACCCAAGAGACCTCCAAGGCTTTCCCTCCAGATGTACACTCACTCACTACGGTAATGCGAATGTACTTCAAAAACGTCCTTCGTTCTTGTACTTCGTACCGTAGAACACACCCTCTCACACCCCAACGCCCCACTTTCCACACCTTGCCCCTCAGTTTTGTCACCCCCCCTCCCCGATGACAGCAACATCCTGCGATTTCCATCCGTAACACCACCTCCACCGTACGTCGTAGAATCCTAAGGTAGGTACATGAAGAACCTAAAGGAAAAATTCCCTCGTACTGGACCTCTTAAACATAGACCACCCCCTCCCCCAACTCACTCTAGCAACGTCGGCGGCTTTTCATACAACGCACTAAAACATCAACAAGAATAAGAGGCCCGACCAAATTCAGTTGCCCACAGCTGGGCGTGAGGGATTCCCCGTGCTCTGATTCTGTACGTGTACTCTCCTCTGTGGGTGGGCTCACATCGCGAAGGGCTTCTTGACATGTCATCATGATCTTCTAACCAGCCTATTCTCTATAGCTTTTGCTCTCCGGGTGATATCACGCACCCTGAGTCGTCCGGAGTGCTCTCAATCTTGTCGATATCAATTGCAACTTCCTTGCTCCTACACGGCTCCGAAACTTGACATTTACCATACCGACGCGGAACAGTCTATCAACTCCACAGTTCGCCAACCTCGTATTATACGCAGCAGCCAGACCCAAATCTGTCGGCTTCTTGGATTGCGTCCGACTGCGTCCCCTTCTCTCGACTAAGCTTCCGTGCTCTTGGCGAACATAGCCCCGCCACTACCAGTAATTACGCTTTTCAATTGTCCGAGTTCCTACATGCAGCGTTACGAAGTGACGTAGCTAGTTCCCTGGGTGTTTTTTTTTTTTTTTTTTTTTTTTTTTTTTTTTTTTCGAAAAAAAAAGACGAAATCCCGACGACCTACGACGATTCGCCTCCCCATCCGCGGTCTTCTCGCCATCGCCTGATTCCCTTGGCCGGGGACTACTCTTCAACCCAGTACCACATCACATAGTCGATACCAGAGGTCAATGTGCCCGCAATGACTATCTTCGTCGCTTCACTGTGAGTGCAGATCTCTCTCCACCCTCTTCCTCCCAAGTCCCCCACAGTCCTTCTGCCGCCGAGTCTGGATGGCGCAGCAATGTCAACTGACCTGTGGGCTCCTCCATCTCCAGATTTCTCCCGAAGACCATCCACTTCAACCTCCCGGGCACTTCGCCCAGGGGCGCCCAACGACCGCGGCCCAAGCGGATGGTCTCCACGGCTGATGTTGGAACCGACCTTGGAACCTCCGCCATCGAAAAGCCCAGCCTCTTCAGTCCGATCCCGGACATCACACCTCCCAAGACTCCCACCGAAGACGACGAGAAGGCCATCTTCGCCAACGAAGATGGCTTCGCCATCCCCTTTTTCGACGACGAGATTCGCCACGGTTCTCCGACCGACAAAGGCTCCCCCAAATGGGGCGCCATGGCCAACCAGCCGCTATCCCGAGCCAGCTCGCCTCCTCCGGCCTTGCTCTCCGAGCACAGCCGGACGTTGGAAAAGGCGCGGGAGCTAGGGCGCCAGGGCATCAAGCAGCCTCAGCCGCAGATCCGAAGCGACAGTCATGATCGTGTCTTCGCCCACGCCAACTGGAGGGTGGTCAATGCCGATCAGGGCAATGGCGGCTTGCGCAACGCTGCCGACGCGGCCGCCCGGGACGGCAAGATCGATGATCACTTCTGGATCGGCACCCTCGGCATGCCCACCGACGCTCTCCAGGGTACACAGCAGAAGCAGGACATCGAGGACCACCTCGCCACCGAGCACAACATGCTGACCGTCTTCTGCTCGGACAAGGATTTTGACGGCCACTACACACACTTCTGCAAACAGGTTCTGTGGCCTGTTTTCCACTACCAGATCCCCGACAACCCCAAGAGCAAGGCCTTCGAGGACCACTCGTGGAAGTACTACGTCAACGTCAACCAGGCATTCGCCGACAAGATCGTCGCCAACTGGAAACGTGGCGATTCCATCTGGATCCACGATTATCACCTCCTGCTCGTACCCTCCATGGTCCGGAAGAAGCTACCCGATGCCAAGATTGGCTTTTTCCTCCACGTCGCCTTCCCGTCGTCGGAGGTTTTCCGCTGCCTCGCCATCCGCAAGCAGCTGCTCGAAGGCATGCTTGGTGCCAACTTGATCGGATTCCAAATCCTGGAATATACGCGCCACTTCCTGCAGACGTGCAGCCGGCTTCTCGCCGTCGAGGCGGCGACCGACGGTCTCCAGCTCGAAGATCGGTTCGTCGACGTCATTTATTTACCCATCGGCATCGACCCCGTCTACCTCAACGAGCGCCGGGGGGCGGCCAGCGTCCGAAACTGGATCCAGACCATTCGCGAGCGGTACAAGGGAAAGAGGTTGATCGTGGCGCGCGACAAGCTCGACCACGTACGCGGCGTGCGTCAGAAGCTGCTGGCGTACGAGCTCTTCCTCAACAAGTACCCCCAGTGGCGCGACCAGACGGTGCTCATCCAGGTCGCGCTGTCGAGCAGCGAGAAGAGCGACCTGGATGCCACCGTCAGCGACATTGTCACCCGGGTCAACTCGTCGTGGGCCAACCTGGCGTACCAGCCCGTCGTCTACCTGAAACAGGACATCGATTACCCGCAGTACCTCGCGCTCCTTGCCGTGGCCGATGCTCTCATGATTACCAGCCAGCGTGAGGGCATGAATTTGACCTCGCACGAATACCTCTACTGCCAGGATGGCGCCGTCCTACCCGAGAAGAAGCACGGCTCCCTCATCCTTTCCGAATTTACCGGCACCTCGTCTCTGTTTGGCGGCGCCCAGCTCTCGATCAACCCGTGGGATTACCGGCAGTGTGCCGACGCGATCAAGCAGGCGCTCGAGATGGACGACGAAGAGAAGGAGAAGAGGTGGAAGCAGCTCTACGCTACCGTCATCAACTACACGGGCTCGCACTGGTTCACCGAATTCCTGTCGAAGCTGGACCACGTCTACGAGGGGCAGCACCGTCGGGACCAGACGTCGGTGCCCAGGCTCTCGGTTACCAACGTTGCCCGAACTTACTCGCAAAGCAAGAGACGGCTTTTCATCCTCGACTACGAGGGTACTCTGGTCAGCTGGGGTCCCATGAATCAAATTATTCCCGTCAGCACGCAGGTAAAGCGCCATTTTTTTTTTGTCTTCTCTCACATGCGTGGGGAGTTCAATTGTACTGACGTAACATAGCGCACCCTCGATGTTCTCAACGACCTCCTCCTGGACGAGCGTAATATCATCTACGTCATGTCTGGGCGACGACCTGAGGAGTTGGACCGCGTCTTCCGCCGAGTACCCAACCTGGGACTTATTGCGGAAAACGGCTGCTTCGTGAAGCAGTGCGGGCAGACGGCGTGGGGCGAGATGGCGGACAGCGAGCAGATCCGCAGCTGGAAAGATTCGGTCAAGGGCATCATGACGTACTACCTCGAGCGGATGCCGGGCGCGGTGCTGGAGGAGAGGCGATGCAGCTTGATCTTCCACTTCAAGGGCGCGGAAGACCTGGAGACGGCGGTGCGACTGGCGAGCGACTGCGCCAGCCACGTGAACGACGCGTGTGAGGCGCAGCGGGTGCACGCCATCCCCATGGACGGCTTCATCCTGGTGGAGCCGATCGACTGGACGAAGAGCACGGCGGCCAACCACATCTTTGAGGACCTGCGTGCCAACGCCAGCGCGGAATCGCCGTCGGAGGCGGAACACAACAAGGATCCCATCGACTTCCTCATAGTGGTCGGCGACGGGCGGGAGGACGAGAAGGTGTTCAAGTGGGCCAACGGCCTGGGCGAGCAGGGCGCGATCCGGGATGTGGTGACGGTCAGCGTGGGCAAGAGGGGCAATACAGAGGCCACCTCGACCATGACGCAGGGTGTCAGTGGGGTTCTCTCTGTTCTGGAGAAGCTGGCCCTGTCCTAAGCGATTTCTTTTTCCCTCCCTTTCTCTCTCTCTCTCTCTCTCTCTCTCTCTCTTTCGTTCTCACGGCCCGCGGGAGCGAGCATCTCCATAGGGAGCCGAACTTGATTGCTTCTCATGAGATGATTTCCCACCTCGCCCTGCAGTCAAGTTCGTTTCTGATCCGCCATCTCGCCACTCTTTACCCGACATTTTTCTGATTTTTATTTTTTATTCTCTTGTTATTTCGGATTCTGGAGTCTTATCTAGGTGTAGTATGGCAAACCAAAAAATGGGGTATGGGAAACACATGAAGGAAAACAGGTCTCTGATTCCATTCATTTTGGGCAGGTTTCACAAGGCGTTTGGCACGAGACTGGGATGGTGTGCACTTGGAGGAGGATGTCATTACCCTCTCTCTGTCTCTTTCTCTTTTTATTTTCATTACCTACCTATGATGAGGAGGACAGTCATGAAACGACATTTAGCATTCGACTTGACTTACTTTGGTCCATTACTTTCAGGTCCTAATTTCTCATATCCTTTTCGTTCGCGCTGGTTTCTCACATATCACAGTCTACTCCTCGCGGTTCCTTGGTCCCCGTCCTTCTTCTTCTTCTTTTACATGGGTTTCATTCTTTTCAGTTGCAGATTATTCAAGTTATGACGATGAGTGGCTGTGATAGAATGTGACGATAGGGGGATCACGGAGACTGGCATAGGAAGGTGACGAGTATCAAGTGTATAATGACTGAGATGTATACCTTACAAATTCATATGAACTCTCACGGGTCATCCATGTCTCTTCCATATACATGTAGTGATGTAGACTGGTTTTCGATTCTTTAATAAGCGCTGGAACAGTGACTTGGGCATGTAAGTCGACCCAAGGGCGTCCTGTCGCGTCGTTGCGTGTGGCAATTCCCCTCTGCCAAGGAAAGCCATAACAAGTAGGTGTGTAAATGTACTCGACAGGGCGTGAGGGTATACCTACCTAACGTTTGGGGACCTACACCGTAGACCGGGCAGCTATATCGCCCGACCGTTCTCGGAAGCTTCCAGGTTGGGACGGTCTTCATATCAAAAATCTACAATGTACCTTCGTGACATTGTCGATCAGAGCAACGGTGAATGACATCACAAATTGACTCCGGTGGGTGACGGTGTGGGGACCAATCATGTCGGAGCATGAGCTGTGCTTGACCGACGGACGCTAAACCCCACCATCCGACATCGGAGGGGGGATGTGGACTTCCCGAGGGGGTGTGACTCGATCATAGGGACCTGGGGAATATCTTTCTGGATACCCCACGTCGAGCTATTCTTTTTTGTTGTGTTTTCGTTTGCTCCTCTATATCAGTCCACGAACACGTTTCCATATTTCACCCTACACTATGGCACCGTTTCCTCCTCCTCCGGTCAATACAATTGACTGGTCCAATGTGGGCTTCAAGGTCCGGGAAGGTAAGCAATGACGGCGGAGAGAGGAGGAGGAGGAGGAGGAGGAAGAAAAAAACCAACGCCCTAACCAGGACATCACCTAATGGGTGGCCTCTGGCTGACGCCTCCTCCCTACAGTCAACGGCCACATCGAATCAACCTACTCCAAGACAACAGGGAAATGGACACCGCTCAAGTTCGTGGCCGACCCGTTCATGCGGATCCACGGCATGGCGCCCGCGCTCAACTACGGCCAGCAAGCGTACGAAGGCCTGAAAGCGTTCCGCGGGCCCGACGACACCACCATCTCCATCTTCCGGGCCGACCGCAACGCGAAGCGCCTGCAGCACTCGGCCGAGGTGGCCTCGATGCCGCCCGTGCCGGAGGACGTGTTCCTGGCCGCCTGCCGCGCGGCCGTGGCGCTCAACGCGGGGTTCGTGCCGCCGCACGCCACGGGCGCGGCCATGTACATCCGCCCGCAGCTGTACGGGTCGTCGGCGCAGCTGGGGCTCAACCCGCCCGAGGAGTACGTCTTCGCCGTGTTCGTCGTCCCCACGGGCGTGTACCATGGCGTGCACCCCGTCAAGGCGCTGATCTTGGACGAGTTTGACCGGACGGCACCCCGGGGGACGGGGAATGCGAAGCTGGGGGGGAACTATGCCCCCGTGCTGCGGTGGAGCGATGCGGCCAGGGCGGAGGGGTATGGGATTACGCTGCACTTGGACAGCGCGAAGCATGAGGAGGTGGATGAGTTTAGCACGAGCGGGTTTATCGGCGTGGCGAGGCATGGGGATGAGGTGACGCTCGTGGTGCCGGATTCGACTTCGGTAATTGATTCGGTTACCAGCAGTAGCGTGCAGGAGATTGCGAGGAGCTTTGGGTGGAAGGTTGAGAAGCGGCCGGTATGTTTTCTTTTTCTTTTTCTTTCCCCCCACCTTCATCTCCTCTCTTACCACTGACATGGTCCTCCCATCTTGCAGATCAAGTACAGCGAAATCCCCGACTTTTCCGAAGTCTTCGCGGCCGGCACGGCAGCCGGGCTGGTCCCCATCCGGTCCATCACGCGGCGGATCGACCCGTCCTCGTCGCAGTCCCTCCTCAAGACGCGGGAGGGCCACGGTCGCGTCAGCAGCGCCAAGCAGGGCGAGGAGACCATCACGTTCATCGCCGACGGCGTGGAAGATGCCGGCGAGGTGTGCCTGCGGCTGCTGAGCACGCTGAAGGGGATCCAGCTCGGGAAGCTTCCGGACGAGTTTGGCTGGCGCTTCGAGGTGCGGGAGGAGGATGGGCGCAAGGTGGAGGGTGCGCCGACTGAGGGGCAGAACGGGGTGACTACTGTTGATCAGATGGACTGAGGGGGGTCATGCCGTGAGATATGGGGAGGGATAATTGAAGGCTGGGGAGAATCATATCTTCGGTGCGAGCGGGAGCACAAAAAGTCTGACTGGAGTTGGAGTAACCGGAAAGATGATATATTCGAATCACATCATGACCATGGCCGGAATCCGCTCTACACCGTGCCGTCCGCTTGCTTGCGCAAGGAGTTGGAGGAGGTACGGAGATACAGCAGAGTAGATACAGAGATACGTACCCGATGACATAATCAGTGTAATTACGTCAGGGGGGCAATGGTCAGTTGAGCTGCAACCTCGCAAAGAGCAAAGGAGCTCAGCTCAGGTCACCATCTTCACGCTTCAACACCATCGCCAACCCACCGATCAGCTGCAGGAGGGCGAAGTTTCGACATCAATATCACACACCTTTGTTTCATTCCCATACTCCCATCTCACCGAGTTGTCGAGACGCATCGTTCTAATCGCCGCCGAATCGTTGAAAAGCTTCATTCAGTCCTTAGAAGCGACGGAACCCCCGCCGAAGCCATGCTCTTCGACCATGGACGTGCTCAAAGATGATGCTCGCGACAAGTGCGGTGGCGAGGAGTACCTCAAGCCAGGATCGACAAACATAACTGTCCAGCTTGGACTCTCCTTGATTTTGGGCGTCTCGGCTTTTGTCGCCTTTTGTGTACGAGTGCCCCTCTTCCCAGATCATCACCGACGCCTTCTTCCATCCTTCCCTCCTGTTGCTAATCATTTACACTTTACACTGACGCCGTGTGCTCCTGTTTCAGATCCTCCGCCCACGATGGTCTACGTTGTACGCCGCTCGAAAGCGCCGACTCGATCCCAATATTGGTCTACCGACTCTCCCTGATACCTTTCTGGGTTGGATTCCAGGGCTATACAGGGTTACGGAAGAGCAGGTCCTGGCCTCTGCAGGGCTCGATGCCTTTGTGGTGAGTCTGGGACCCAGAGCAGACTCTACGACACCATGTCCGAGGCTGACTCGTTACATCTTAGTTCCTCTCCTTTTTCAAAATGGCGATCCGACTATTCGCCGTCATGGCCTTCTTTGCCTACGCCGTCTTGTGGCCCGTCAACCATCACTACATGGACTGGAACACTAAGCCTCCCTCCGACAATACATCCTCGACCTACCACCCCATCGACACGACCACTTACGATGATTCTACCGGGGGATTCAATCCATACACTACGAGATCAGGCGATGCTAACGATCCTTTGACGATCGAGTTTGGCGGCCAGGGCAACAACGCCTATCTCTGGACCTGGTTCGTCTTCACCTACTTCTTCACGGCTCTGATCATCTACGTCATGAACAGAGAGACGTTCCGAATCATTCGCATCCGCCAGGCATACCTCGGTACCCAGTCCACCATCACCGACCGCACGTTCCGCCTCTCCGGTCTCCCGTCCTACCTCAAGTCCGAGGAGAAGATCAAGGACTTGATCGAGAAGCTCGAGATTGGTCGGGTGGAGTGTGTGAATCTGTGCCGCGACTGGAAAGAGCTGGACGCCCTGATGGAGAAGCGTGCTACCGTTCTACACAAGCTGGAGGAAGCGTGGAGCGTGTTCCTGGGGAGGCAGGCACATGCGAGGCTTCCAAAGCCCGACGGGCGACGGCGAAACCGGACTGCCGATGAGGAAGGGTCACGTGGTCAGCGGCATCCGGGAGGGGGAGTAGAAGTGGGAATAGGAGAGGGAGACGGAGACGGAGAATATAGGGCGGATGGCGACGAGGACGACGTTGAACGAGCCGGAGAAAACACCCGTCTTCTGAGCCATGGTGGCAACCGGGCCGGCCTCGTCGACAGGGACCGGCCGACGATCACCATACGCTACGGCTTTCTCGGGCTCCGTTCCCGCAAAACAGATGCCATCCACTATTACGAGGAGAAACTCAGGAGGCTGGACGAGAAGATCCACGCCGCCAGGCAAGCGAAGCCGCCGGCGACCGGCATCGCGTTCATCACCATGGACTCGATCGCTGCGTGCCAGATGGCCATCCAGGCGCATATTGATCCCAGACCGGGCCAGCTCCTGACCAAACCGGCCCCTTCGCCGTCCGATGTTGTGTGGCGGAACACGTACGCGCCGAGGGGCGTCCGGAGGCTTCGTTCCTGGTCCGTCACCGTCTTCGTCAGTCTCCTGTCGGTGGTCTGGCTCGGCCTCGTGGCCTCGCTCGCCGGTCTGCTCACCATCTGCAACCTGCAGAAGTGGTTCCCCGACACAGTCAAAACGCTCGAGCAGCTCCCCGTGCTGAAGGCGTTGATCGAGACGGGCCTGCCGACACTCCTCGTCTCGCTCCTCAACGTGGCCGTGCCGTACCTGTACGAGTACCTGTCGTACCAGCAGGGGAAGATCTCCCGGGGCGACGTGGAGCTCTCGATCATCTCCAAGAACTTCTTCTTCTCCTTCTTCAACATCTTCTTCGTCTTCGCCGTGTCCAGCACGGCCATCAACGTGGTCCAGCTGATGGACCGGCTGCAGGACGCCCTGCGCGACACGGCCGGCTTCGCGCGCCTCATCGCCAACCAGGCCAACAAGATGAGCGTCTTCTACATCAGTTTCATCATGCTCCAGGGCGTCGGCCTCTTCCCGTTCCGGCTGCTGGAGGCCGGTAGTGTCTTCCTGTACCCGCTCTACCGCATGGGGGCCAAGACGCCGCGCGATTTTGCGCGCATCATGGTGCCGCCGACGTTCAGCTACGGGTTCTACCTGCCGACGGCGCTCCTCGTCTTCATCCTCTGCCTCGTGTACAGCGTGCTGGAGCTGGGGTACCTGGTGCTCACGGTCGGGCTCGCGTACTTTGTGCTCGGCTACTTCACGTACAAGTACCAGCTCCTGTACGCGATGGACCAGCCGCAGCACGCTACGGGCGGGGCGTGGCGCATCATCTGCAACCGCGTCGTGCTGGGCCTGTTCGTGTTCCAGGTCATCATGGCCAGCGAGATGGCGCTGCACTCGGCGTTTGTGCAGTCGGCCCTCACCGTCCCGCTCCTCTTTTTGACGCTGTGGTACGGCCACTACTTTGGGCGGCGGTTCGTGCCGCTGACGCGGTTTATCGCGCTGCGGAGTCTCCGGCCTGGCGCGGGCCATGTGGATGAGGATGAGGTTGTTGAGGAGGGGGAGGAGGCGGACTTGAGGCCGTCGATGGGGTTGCTGAGGCGGGGCAGCACGGTTGATGAGGATAAGGAGAAGGGGCTTCGGTTTTTGAATCCTAGTCTGACTGTTTGGTGAGTTTTGTTCTTTTTTTTTTTTTTTTTTTTTTGTTTCTTCAAGTCATCTCAGCTAACGTCGTCCCAGCCCAGAACAGCCCTGGATCTACCAAGATGCCCCCCCTACCTCGGCATCCGACGCTGCGACCCAGGACAACCTCGCTGAAGTTAGCGCCACGGCCTTGCCGGAACAGGGCCTGCCCACCGGGGGTACGAACAGTACTATCAGTCTGGGAGATACTCATGTGTGGAGGGAAAATGGGGAGAGTCATGTCTGAACTCGGCATGGAGATAAAGTGTATAGGATGGTTTTTGTCTACCTTCGGTTCGAATGGGAGCCCACAGAGTCGAGCTACAGGTTTATGGCCATGGCGTTCTGCGGCGCTTTACATGACAGGATAGGATACGCTATGGCATGGCGTTTCGGTTCGTCTTTGGCATCAGAGATCAAACTTGAGAGCAGTATCCCTCTCTTTACTCTTCTCTTCATTCTGGTTAACCTGATTAACATACTGTGTAACGTTGTCTCGCAACAACTCATGTTCTCACCTCACATAAGCAGTCAGTATACTGGCAGATGCATGGCCTAGTCCTCGGTGTAACATATATTCTGTGATACTTAGGAAGAATATTAAGTGTTTTCAGTGAATCAACGACTTTTATATAAGCGCAAATGCGTTTATCGTGACCCCTGAGACTGAATGCCCTGAGCCCCTGAGTCTTGGCACCCTCACACCATAAGCTAGCCACCAAGGCTCTTGTGTGACCTGTCCCGCTGCAGGATAACGAACAATCAAGGGAAGGTAAAGGTCAGTTAATCGGTCTGAAAGTAGTGGGCGGTTTAGACTCCTGACAAGCGACTCGTCACTGCATCACATGCACCCAGCAGCATACGGGGTTACGTAGCCGTAACACAGCACAGGGTTTAACTTTTCGTTGGCATGCGTTTCTTGCCTTGGATTCGTTGCCACATACCTGTTTACTCTCCCTCACTTATACCCATCCCCATCCCCCAACCACCAACCCTTCCTTCACCTTACAACCTCTCTGTACCTCACATCAACAACATCATCTCTTGGTACCTTTTTTCTTTCTTTTCTTTGCAGCCTTTTTGTCCCTCGTTTTCCCCCTTGGGTTGTCCTCGGGCCAGTTGTAGCTGGGTCCGGGGGGATTCGGAATTTTCTTCTTTTCCTTGGCCTCAGAACAGCGACAAGCATCCTGGTATGTAATTACAGGGACTCCCGGTGATGCCAGTTGCCCAGAATCCCCTACTAATACGAGTACAGACAATATCAACTTACTTCTGTGTCTCCAACATGTCAGACACTCCCGCTTCCACCCCTGGCTCAATGCCTGAGAATCAAGCCTCGGAGCCAGCCCCTCTTCAAGACCACAGCATCCCTTCTACCTCGGCCGTCACAAAGCTCGCTTTCGAAACCCTCGAGGCCATTTTCTGTCAGCTCTCCCCCGCAGACTTCAACTCTGCTCGCCACACCTGCCGAGCTTGGTACTATGCCGGCTCCGGCCGCCTTTTGCTCGTCGAGATGGTGCAGCGGGCGGGCTGGTGGTCCAGCATCAAGAGGCTCGTGGGCAACCCTAAAGATCCCGTCACGCCGCGGCTTGTGCCCGACGACCGAGAGCGTATGGCCAAGTGGTTGGCCCGGGAGGTCACTCTCGGCGGCGGCGGCGGCGGTGGCGATACGTCCAAGTCGCCCTTCGTCCTGGCTGGCTCGGTGGACTTTTCCTCTCTGGCGGCGGCGGAGCACCCTGGCTCGGACGCTGCCGCGTCGTCCAGCTGCTCGACTCCCGCCGTTTCTAACTTGAACCCACATCATGCGGGAAAGGTCTCCGTCACGTTTACTGTGAGCGCTTGCGGCCGGTTTCTCATGCTCTCCCGTGGTTCCCTCATTCACGTCTACGAACTCAACCACATGTGCGAGGGAACTCGTCAGCCGGCCTGGCATGCTCGGCTCAAGCCCGCCCGTCACCACCCCCTCGGCGCGCTCCGGCCCGTCACGACTGTGGTTTGCGACGGCAATGTGGTCCGCTGCAGCATGGACACCTCCCGTGGGCGCTACGCCGTCGCCGCCCTCCTCGAAGAGCGCCGGGCCGTCCTCGTCGAGATTAGGAGGGAGACGATGACGGGCGTCCTGCTACGCGACATTTCTTCTTCTTCGTCGGAGGAGGAGGAGGACAACGCGGCAGCCTCGGATGCTGCTCTGCGCGACGGGTACACGCGCGAGGCCGGTCCCCCGAGCAAGAAGCCGAAGACGGCCACCACGGTGGTGGCGACATGCATCTGCGAGGAGAGGAGCCCGTTCTGCGCGCCCTCGGTGGAGTCGGCGGAGACGGGTAGGGACATGGACGGTAGGGGTGCCCGGACGACGACGTACCGGAACCTCTGCACGGGGATCGACCCGCCGCGGTCGGTGGCCGTTTGTCCGCAGCGGAACTGCGTCGTCTTTGGCTCGGCGTGCGGCGTTGAGCTTCACTAGGTGGAGGCTCTCACCCATCGGAACCTGAGCCGGTGGTTCCCCCTGTTGGCGCCTACGGATTTGGTGCACTTTCTCCCGCCGCGGACGGGGCCTGGCGTCGGGCGCCAGAAGTTGCGGCTCGTCTGCTCGGCGGCGGGGGAGGACGTTCAACTTGGTCCGACGAGGGGACGGTTTGGCGGGTTTGGGAACTTGTATAACCAGGCTCTTCGCCTTCCCGGCGGTGGCCCGTCGCCGAATTCGAATGGCGTTTCGTCGGCGTCGGCGGGTGGTCACGGCTCGAGGTTCCCGCTGATCCTTTGGCGGCAGCCTTTTGGTCGTCCTCGTTCTGCTCATGCTCAGGTGGCGGCGGCGGCGGCGGCTGTCCCTTCTTCGCCCCGAGAGAGCCGCCTTCGTCGCCGATGGAAGCCTGCGTCGGCGGAGCACCTGCGTGCTGTTCCCCTGCGAGACGGACAGCATGTTCTCTTCACCGACCCCCATACCGGCAAGCTTTGTATCGGATCGGACGCTTCCCTGGGGCCCATGTCGCAGCTGGAACGCATCATCTGGCTGGCGCCGCCGGCGGGAGCGTCTTCGTCCACGGCTGGCCTGTACGCTGCGGGCGACGACATGCGCCATGGCGTGCGGATCGTGGGCGTTTTCCCTGCGGCGGCCGACGTCGGGGAGGGGAGAGAGAAGGGAGGTGCGGACGGACGAGAGCAAGAGCGGGAACAACATCAACTCGTCGTCTTTTACACCATCCCCCCCGACGTCTTCGACGACTTGACCCGCCTGAACAGCGGCGCTTTGCACGTGGCGGCGGCCGACGGCTCGGGCGAGCAGGATTTTAGCGATGGGTTTGGCGTCCCCAGCTGGAACAGCTACTCGTACGGCGACGAGGGCGACGACGAGCCCAGTTCGCTCTTTCATCCGGTCCCTTTGTGGGCTGCGTGGTGGCCGGAGCCCACATGCAGTTTGCATTCTGTTCTGAGCAGACGGGCGAAGATGATTGGGAGCCAGAGCGAGACTGGGACGCAGACCGCCTCGAAGCCCCCTTTTCCGCCTCCCAACTTTTTCGACACGCCTCGGATCTATCCCATCAAAGTGCAAGGCCTGGTGATCGCCCGGTGTATGGACCTGGTGGACATTACGGTCGACTCGGGCCCCGACATGGTCATCTGGGTGTTCGGCGGGTCGGGACAGGCGCAGTGCTGGACGCTCGACACGGGACGCGAGAGGAGGGTCACGGGGGTGATCCGGGCCGTGGCGCAGGGGGACGGAAGCCTCCGCGAAGTGGACGACGAGGGCGACATTGGCATGGCGGACTGTCCGCCGAGTCTACCCTCGTCTTCTTCGTCTGTGCCTCGGGACGACGACGACGGGCCCCGGTGTGCGTGGACCATTGCTACGGGATCGAGACGGGGGTTGCTGGCCGAGTCGGTCCGGATCGACTCGATCCAGGATGGACCTGGCATTGCCTTGGTGAATTTCGAGTTTGCCCTGTGATGGTTTTGGACGTGGTGCTTGGGAGTTTGGCTGAGGATTCCTACGAACCGTCCATCTTGCCCCCTATTACTCCTTGTTTTCCCTACTTTTTTATTTTTTACCTGTTTTTCTTCCTTGATATCCTATGCACTCGACTCTTCTGCACATCCTTTTTAGTCCTAGGTTCAGAGTAGGAATACATGGCATTCGTCTCTATATGCTTCCCCTATATGGAGCAGTGCCGTGACTTGTAAGAGCACAGAGGACAGGACCAGAACATTATACTGTCCTCACGGGAAGAGAGTCGCTCCTTATGCGCTTGACTACAGCAGCAGCAGCAGCAGTAGCAGAATCACCCTCTGATCGGCGGTTCTCTTCCCCCCCCTGCGAAGAGTCGGGGGAAACGAGGGCATTCTCGCAAGGACGTCTCGCCATAATATCCTGGAGATTGCGAACCGTGCAATCGGCAATCTCGCGGAGAGCCTCCTCTGCGAAGAAGGCCTGGTGACCGCAGACAATGACGTTGGGGAAGGTCAGGAGCCGCATGAGGACGTCGTCTTGGATGATCTCCCCGCTATGGTCGTCGTAGAAGAGGGACCCCTCCCCTTCGTAGACGTCGAGGGCCACGCCGGCGAGCTTGCGGGCCTTCAGGGCGTGGATGAGGGCTTTCGTGTCGACGAGGCCGCCGCGGGAGGTGTTGACGAGGATGGCGCGGTCGGGGAGGAGGGCCAGGGTGTCGGCGTTGATGACGTGTTTCGTCGACTCGGTGAGCGGGCAGTGGAGGCTCAGGACGTCGCACTGCGGGAGGAGCGCGGCCAGGTCGTCGACGTACGAGCCGTAGGGTTCGAAGGCGGGGTTGCGGAAGGGGTCGTGGGCGAGGACGCGGCAGCCGAAGCCGGCGGACATGATGCGGGCGAAGGCGACGCCGATGCGGCCGGTGCCGATGAGGCCGACGGTCTTGCCGCGCAGGGTGCGGCCCATGAGGCCGTCGAGGGAGAAGTTGCCCTCCCTGACGCGGGCGTGGGCGCGGTGGGTTTGGCGGTTGAGGGTCTGCAGGAGGGCGACGGCGAACTCGGCGACGGCTTCCGGGCTGTAGGCGGGGACGTTGGCGACGGAGAGGCCCAGGGCTTGGGCGGCGGGGAGGTCGACGTTGTTGGAGCCGGCGCAGCGGAGGAGGATGGCGCGGACGCCGGAGGAGGCGAGGTGGGAGAGGACGGGGGAGGGGAGGTGGTCGTTGACGAAGACGCAGACGGCGTCGGCGGAGGCTTTGGTTACGAGGGAGGCGGTTTCGGGGGTGAGGGGGACGGGGTGGAAGGTGAGTTGGATATTGGATTCGGGCGGGCAGGCGGCTTGGAGGTAGTGTTTGTCGTAGGGTTTTGTGCTGAAGACGGCGACTTTGATGGGAGTGGACATTTTGTTGTCTGTCTTGTCCTCCACTGTCTTTTATGTGTTTTCAATGTGAGAGGGGGATTTTTTCGTGGATTATAGAGGAAAGATGTGATTTCTTGAGTGTTGTTAGATTTGGGCTCGATTGTAAGGAAGGGCTGGGGCTGGGGGTAGAGAGAGTTGAGTCTTGTAAAGTTGAGTCTCAGGGGTAAGAGACAAGGGGGGTTGGTGATGTTTTTGTGGTGTTGAGAAATAAATGTACAAGTAATGAGAGGGACAACGGGTACGGAAATACCTTATACCGTGGTTTATGAAAGAAAGGAAAGGTACGTACCTTGTTTGTTATTGTTGTGATGTTTGAGATGGTAACGGGGGTAACGGAGGTAACGAGGAGGATGAATTCGGCCTGGATGGATTGCTGATTTTAAACCGAGAAATGAATGAGACGGATTATTCGTACGAGAGGAAAGGATGCAGACGGTATAATATAGAAAAGATGGACTTTATTGCCAAGAGATAGACAGGCAACCAAGACCGCATCCATGCATCAAAATGGGCCTGGGACGTCAAATCGCCGCCTTGGGTATGATTGACGGACCTTTTTTAACCAAGACGTTCCAGAAGAGAAGTCTCCTGCCAGGGTTGAAGAGAGGAATACTCCTGTTGGTTGTTGGTTATTGGTTACATTGCAGTAGAAATCCAAAGAGACCAAAATCTTCTCATATCGCTTTCTGCGCCGATGTGAACGAGATGCGTGGCTGTGTAAAAAGAAGGGGCGGCTTTACCGATAAAGCTAGTGGCGCCTCTTGGCCTCTTTCTTGGCCTCTTGGCCTCTTGGCGCCCTACGTCGGCCACCTCCACGTTCCCCTTCACCCCCCTACACCAACCTTCGATACACCCCATGTATCGTGTAATCCTTCTTCGGCCCCTTCACCGTATATCCAATCGTCCACTGCTCCAACTCGACCGCCTTGAAACAAAACTCGTACGCCACATTGTAGAAATCATCGATGCACAAATGCCCCGCCTTGGCTTTCCACCCCTTGCGGTCCGGCGACTCCGGCCCCTGACCCGGCCCGAGGAACTCGACTTGGTGGAACAGGTAGTCCGCCCGCCGGTCATCGTCCGTCCGAACAAACCACACGCTCATCACATCCCTCGCCTCATCATACCGCCAGACATACCGCCTCCTCGCCTGGAACGTCAACCCGTTGTCGGCCCGGAACTCCCCTTCCTCGATGTAGAGGTACTCCTCCCCCGGGTTCCCGTTCCCCCCGTTCCCCCCGTCCCCCGTGGCCTCCCGCAGCAGGAACCTCGCCGTCCCGCTAAACCGCCCGCTGGGATGCGACGGCAGCCTGCTCTCCAACGACCTCTCGAGCCGCCAACTCCCCAGCAGGCTGCGGAACACCGCGTGCGCCACGAACCGGCTGCTCGTCAGCCCCGCCACCGCCGTCTCGTCGGCCTGCCGCAGCGCCTCCGCGTTCTCCGCCCGCGCCTCCTCGTCGGCGAAAGCAGACAGGTAACGCGACGGCGTCAGGATGTCCATCGGGAGGTTGTTGTGCGGGAGGAGGAGCGTGGGCGAGGACGAGTCGCTGTCGCTGTCGCTGTCGTGGCGGGGTGCGGGGCTCCTCTCGAGGTCTAGCGCCGCCGCTATCTCTTGCATGAGGAACGGGTAGTCGCCCATGGGGAACTGCGACCGCCGCGGGTCCCCGCGGAGGGAGAGGGTGCGGTGTACGCATGCGTCGTCGGCCGCCGCCGCATCCACGCCCGGTACTTTTAGGTCCGGCGTCCACAGCGCCGCGAGGAACCGCGCCTGCATCTCCATCACGCCCCAGTACGGCGACCGGTAGAACCCCACGAACCCCAGCGTCGGCACCGCCCGGTTCTGCGTGCCGTGGAACCCCAGCGCCAGCGGCAGGTCGCGTTCCTCCGGGTCGTGGTGGAGCTTCTCGAGCACCCGCGCCGGCAGGAACGAGACGCAGCCCGACGCGTCGAACCCGGTCGCCAGCACCACGGCCGCCACGTCCTCGAGCTTCTCGCCGCTGGCGGGTGGTGGTGATGTCGGCGGCACGGGGTTTGCGATGAGGGCCGTGGTGCCGTCTAGCCCCTCGAGCTTGCCGCGCGACACGGTGATGAGGCCCAACCGCACTAGCTCGTTGTAGTGTTCGCTCATGGCTAGGTAGGGCGGCTCCGTGCGGTCCTCGGCGGGGACGGCCATGATGGACGGGGAGAACTGGGATGGGTTGCGGCCCAGGGCTGCCTCGTACATGTTGTGCATCGTCATGGCCGTGTCGGGAGGGATGTGGCCCTGGTTGTCCCTCAGCGGGTGAGGTCGGTTATTGAGGTTGTAGGACGGCATGTCGACCGGCAGAAAAGGAGGTGCAGCCAACTTGGGCTGGGCGGGTGAAAGGAAACCGGTCAGCCTTCCTTGTCCGAAGATGAAAATAATCCATTGAGCTCAGGGACGCAAGCGACTCAGACTCACCTTGGGAGTGGTGTAAAGGGGAAACACCCAGGCAGGACGCTGAATCAGATGGTGAACCGTGTAGTGTTCCGCATTCGGAACCCGACTCGGCCCAGGAGAATGGACGGCAGAAGATAAGTGACTGGCGATGGTGGCCGCCGTCTCGACGCCAGACATTTGCCCGCCCACCACCAGGATCCTTCCCCCTCCGGGTTCTCCTCGGCCCCCCAACAAACCCTCGAGATGGCGATACTTGCTGCTATGCACCACCGGCACCGCTGCTGCATCCGCCACCCCTCGGACCCACGACGGAACAGCAGGTCTGCCAAAGAACCCCGACGCAACAAGTACGTGGTCAAAGTCAGACACCCTCGTCCGCGCCCCCTCCTCCTCCTCCTCCTCCTCCTCCTCATCGTGGCCGAGGTCCGCACTTTTCCGCACCGTAACCCGCCACCGCGCATCCTCCAGCAACTCAGCCCCCACGACGCGCCACCCCAGCCGCAGCTGGACGTCTGCGTCTGCCGCCGCCCCGGGACACTGACACGCACGCGGGTCACGCCGCACCAGGTATCGCTCCGCGTACCGCTCCAGGTACCGCCCCACCATCCACGCCCGCGGGAACTGCGGGTCGTCGGCGGCCCAGGCCAGGTCGCTGAAGTGCATCGTGTTCTTGCTCTGGTTGGTCACCATGAGCGGGTGCACCAGGCCTTCGTCGTCTTGGGTGGAGGAGGGCCAGAGGCCGCCGATGCGGGGCTGCGCGTCGAACATTGTCACTTTGAAGGTCCCCGCGGGGGCGTTGTGGACGAGGGTTTTGGCGGCTACGAGGCCGGAGGGGCCGGCGCCTGGGAGAGGGGTGAGTCATGAGTGACATGGTGAACTTGTGAAGGGGGACCGGGGACGTCTGGGAACGGGTTGCGAGTCGCGACTCGCGACTCGCGACGCGGCGACACGTCACATACCGATGATGCAGACATGCTTGGCCATGGTGATGAGATACCGCGTGTTTGTTTGTTGGCACTGGCAGACTTTCGAATACCGGAGCACGGGAGGATAAGGCTGGATGGAGTCTGGACGATGAGCCGGACAGATGAGAAGACAGAGAGAATTAAGGAGATGAGGGATATATCATATCTGGGGTCAGCTAAGGTGAAATTGAGCTGCTGTTCTCATAGTCAAGATGTCTATTGCAGCTCAGAAAGAAGCATGTGTGAAGAGAAAACAGCCCGCGAATGAGCCGATGGAAAGGTCATGAATCGGGAGTTGTAATGTGGATGAGTTGTAATGTGGATGAAGATGTTGAATGTCAATTGCTGACAGAGACAGAGAGAGACAGAGACACAGATAGAGGGCATTCTTACTAAGCGGCTGGTAATGGTCCGTGCATACTCGGCTCCGACCTTCCTCCGTCACCCCCGAAACTCCGAAAGGAAGGAACGCTAACGGAGCCGATCCAGCCTTATCGGCCCCGAGATGACCGTGCACTCGGCCATGGTCGGACCGTGGACGGAACTCGGAACTCACTATATCAGGAAAGCTGAAAAGCAGTCCAGAACTACGTAATATACAAGTTCTTAGTATCCTACTGCTAGACCAGAGGAATAATTTAGTAGCCATGAATAATAAAGAGCTTGTCTTTATAAGCCTCAAGTGCAAAATCTGGAGACTTGAAAGAGCTCGGGACTAAGGAGGTGAACGGTGAACCCGTGAGTCTTCTTGTCACTTCCTTTACTGCCTTTCTTGAGAATCAGACCCGCGTTGCAAATTCAAGAGCGAATCACAAAATTGGTTCACGATATCCTCACTGGAGTGCCTTCTCTGATTCATAGCCTAGTTTAGCCAGAAGCGGAACTCCACGCAAAACTGCTGGCTGATCTCGTGACCCCGTCAGGCTTCCGTTCCAATCTCTAGCTATAGATATTTCTGGAACCTCGTCTCGCTTTGCCTCTCTTTCTTTCTTTCTTCCCTCGTACTCGACCGGCTGCAAGGTCTCAAGGAAGAAAGAAGATCTCTGGCTCAGCAAGCTGTAGGTTCCCATCCTTTCGTTTCCCCCTCTTAGAAGAATTTCTTAATGGCCAACCTTATTCACAAGGCCCGTCATGGCTTCACGCTCCTCCTCCACTGGCAACAACCCTGCCGAGGGCTACATCCATGCTGGCAACACCCCAACCGCCGCTTCCATCTGCTGCGTTGCCCTCAACTGCGACCGTGTCTTCACCTCCAGGGCCCAGATGCTGTAAGTTGCCTCCATGCCGTTTCCCCCCTCACACCAGGGCATTTCCGAGGCTAACTTCACAACCGAGTGAGCACAAGAGAACCGCCCACAACACCCCCGAAAACATCCACCCAGGCACGCACTACGTCTGCCCCGTCCCCGGCTGCCACCAAGGCCAGCTGATCCTCCGCTCCGACTACCCCGGCCCCGGCCGCTTCGACGAATTCCGCCGCCACTTCCGCGAAGACCACCCGCGGCTCTGCGACTCGCTCGAACCCTGGGTCCTAGACGCCATCTACGCCAGCGTCCGAGCCCAATCTGACATGTCTGCCGACACCGTCAACCTGGAGAGGAAGACGCTGGAGGTCAGGGAGAAAGTGAGGAAGATTCGGGAGAAGGAGGTGGAGATGGACCGCCTGAACGTGCGCATTGGTCAGCAAGAGGCCGAGCTTCGGTGGAAGGACAGTCAGATTCGGGACCTTTACCTGCAAGTCGGTCTTCTGAGGGCCGCTGCTGGTGGTTTCCTGGGCGCTGGAGCCCCTCAGGCCCCGATGTAGCCGTGGGGTAATAGATGCTTGCTCTTGCCCTTAGCATGGAGTCGAGGTTGCCGCAGGGAAACTAATGTGACGACCCTCTGTGTGTGGTTTTATTTTCTTCTTCTTCTTTTTCTTCATGATCGCGGTTGTTGTGCTTCGGGTGGGTTTGCTGTTGGTTGTTGTGCTTTTGATGTTTGTGTTTGTGTTTGTGTTTGTTGTGGGTTGGGTTGTGGGCTGGGTTGTGGTTTTGGTTGTTGTGCCGGTCGTCGTGCTTCTTATAGTTCTGCGTCTTACGTTATCAGTAGGGTTGTTCTTCTTATCGTTGTTGCTGTTATTGTCCTTGCTATGATTCTTAATGTTATTATTGTTATTATTATTCTGGTTATTATCGTTCTTACCGCGATTATCGTGATTGTTATTAGGTATCAGTAAAGGTTTTCTTATAATGTTATTTTACTCCTTCCTCTACTTACTATCGTCCTTACTATAGTCTTTAATAGTAATATTACCTTACTTGGAATTATTCTTCTAACTGGTTATGTCAATGGAAGAAGTTTAGGTGCATGTGTGATAGACTCTTGAATCCTGTTTGTGAACAGATGTTGCATTTGGAGGCAACCACGTCCTAAGCGCGTCTGCCGAAACCCAGATCCAGATTTCCTCAACCATAAACCACTATTTGGTTCTAGTATAGCAGGCAACATATCTGTACTCCTGAGATCAATGCACCGCCAGCTAGAAAAACCCACCAGAAGGTCTTTCATTCTCATGACTGCCTCTGCTGTGTGCTCTGAGCTCAACCTCACGCGTCTCGTCTCCATTTGACCTCTCACACTGATCAAAGTGAGAAACCTCTGCCCCCGCCCCTGCCGCTGCCCCTCCAGCCCCTCCCCCCGCGCCTCCCAAATCGCACATGTCGACATGCCGATGCACCGAGAAAAACCGCAACCGCCCGGCCACAAACTCCCTATACTCCTCCCGGACCGTGCCCCAGCTCGTCATGAAGAAGATGACGGCATTCCAAATCCCCTGCAGCGGCAGCACAATCGCGGTGGCCACATTCAGGCCGTAGCTGACATTGTCCGGGTTCACGAGGTCGTTGATGCGGTTGATGGAGCTCGGCGTCCAGGTGATCAGGATCGAGATGGCGAAGATGAAGCTCGTGCGCAGGTACGCCAGCTTGACCGGGTCCAAGCCGCGCAGGCGCGCGTTGAAGTGGCCGATGGCGGTCCGGACGCGCTGCGGGAGCGAGGGCTCGGGGGCCGGGTGGGAGGAGATCATGGTTTCGAAGCGGGAGCTGTGGCCTGCGGCGGCCGGGGGGATGGCGGTTTCTTCCATGTCGTCGTTGGAGTGCCAGGATGGTGGGTTCGGGCAGTGGGCTGGATGCAGCACGGAGGGGGCCGGGACGGTGGGTGAGCGGCGTGGCGGTGCTGGTGCCGGTGCTGGTGGTGGTGGTGGTGGTGGTGGTGGTGCTGGTGGTGGTGGTGCTGGTGTTGGACAGGGGATGGCTGTTGTGATTTGCACTTCGGTCACGGCTGTGACATGCCAGTCTTCGGATCGCTCGGTTTTGTGCCGAGAACACTGGTGATGGCCAACCAAAAACATTAGAGTTGTAAAAAAAGGCGAGGAATCCAATTTCAGGGACACGTTCACACGTCACACACGGGGCAGAACCTACCTTTTCTCCGCAATCCCTTGTTTCGTCGGAAAAGGAGACGTCAACGTCCTTTCGTTGCATGTGCTTCCCATCTCGGCCATAGAGACTGAATGTGAGGTTTCGCAACTGATTGCGGTGATGGAAAACATGATAGCCGACTGAAAAGTAGATGACACCGGAAAGAAAGATGCAGATCCATATGGGAAGATAGTAGGTGTAGATGCGCAGGGCGCTCCAGTCTTGCTTGATCCAGCACCAAAGCTACGAAAGAGAAGAGTGCCATGTGGTTAGCCTAACATGAAGCCTCTGATTTTTTCCGCCCGACGGTTGGGTTGTCGAGAGTGCGTATTCTCCTACCGTTGCGTCGCCGTACATAGGCTGGCCCCCGGGACGAGCTACCAGCAAAACAATCGCCGGGATGAACGGCCCGCCAAAGCAAATAATGCAGTAGAGCCAAAGAAAACTCTTGAAGATGGAGGGGTTGGCGCCGCAAAAGAAGACGAGGAAAACATTGACGGCCATGGCGAGAGACCACCAGGGGTCGGACTGCATGAACCTGATGACGACACATGGTTAGCAACAAGGTGTCCGAAGTCGAAAGTCGTTGTAGCGGAGCTGTAGGCTCAGCTGGAACAGGAGTATAGTTTACATTTCCAGGAGAAAAGACTGTGCCTGGCACAGGACAGATTCCTCGCCTTTGAGAATCCCATCGTGTCCTATCAGACAGGCTATACTGGCCCCGATATTCGCAATGGAGGCAAAGAGAATAAATAAATTCGGGATGGTCCTGACTTTCTTCGACAGGCCATACGCGAGGAAGATGAAAGTTATTCCGATGAGGGAGAGAGAGGCACCGGTCCTCTCCAGGGCAATGAGGACATTGATCTGGTGTTTGGTCAAGGCCATCGCCAGGAGGTGAACACTGGCTAGGCGGGCATAGAGGAGAGTTATCAGAAACCGGTTACCGGTAGGGCTCGGGGAGGCAGAGATGGCTTCCAGCACTGGCCAGCGTCAAGTTGAAAGACGTGCTGACAGGAGCTGGTCCTAGGAAGACTGAAACGAGAGTCGTGAATTCGAGAAAGCAAAAGTGGAAAGCGTTTGAACTCCGGACCCGAGGAGGACAAAGTTGTGACTCGTGGGCAGTGGTACAATGTTAGCGATGTTGGACCAAACGAGGAGTTGGTTTGGAGGGAAAAGCTGTCGAGGGCGTATGCAGGAAGTCTAATATCTGGGGATTATGGAGTCATCGGATGGCAAACGGGGGAATTATATCATTCCGGGAAGCTCACATTCGTAGCCTGACGACCACGCGAGGCTGCATAGGAGGCTGTCAGACGCCAAATGCAAGAGATGTTACACGGAGGCAGAGGGCCGAGAAGGTCACTATAGAAGTATCTATGCGGCAGTGGATGAAGGCGACTTGCCTCTGGAGTGAAGGGGTCGAGAGGCCATACGAAGTGAATAATGTGGAATCAACAGCCCCCCTGATGAAGACGCAGTATACGAAGCCCTACCGCAATCTGGAAGAGATCGTCGAGGTAAAGGTTCGGGTTCGACGAAATAAAAAGCGGGCGAAAGCATGTTGTCGGTGTAACGATGCCGAGGTCAGATAGCTAGGAGAGGGGCCCGGAGGGCAGCTACTCTCGTTGTGTCATGCGCGATGCGGCCATGCGATGCGCCATGCTGCTTCACTCCCGGACGTTCTCGTATTAAGTGTTCATATGGGGAAGCCGTCGACGCATGTACGGATGGTAATGAATATGAGGAAAGTCCTCGACGGCTATTCGAGTCCTCGACTTGAAAGTTGACGCCGCCCGGGGCGCCATGGCTCGCCGCCACGCCTCTCGAGTTGCATTTCTTATTTCCCTCCCGAGTTCCCTTCTCTACTAAATATTCTGGGCTGTCGGTTTCAACCGCTTTTCCGCACATCGCTTCCACCCTGCACGGTTACTCACCTCTTCCCAAACTTTAGAGGGCAGTGTGTTACATGTGGAAAGACCTTGGCATGCAGCCAGCAGGTCGTGACTGGCGTAGGATATGGACCTTGAGGCAAACAACCGGGGTCAAATACGCCCGCGTTGTGAACATAGGAGGGGATGTCCTGTACTACTGGACCAAGCAAGCGGCCGAGATGCCACCAATAGGCTGTAGTATATCCACACTCTTTGTTTGTTCTGATTATTGAGAGCGAAGTATGATTGGAGAGCACTAGATCGTAACGAGGAGACTAGATAATTTCGAGGCGGCATCTTGCAGGGCGAGTGCCATAGCCGGCTGGTTGCACACGGCTATCCAGGATACTGAGCTGGGTAGGTCAAAAAAGTGCAATGAGAGAAAAAGAAGAAAAGAGGCTGGCTATTTTGACAAGTTGAACGACAAAAAATCAGCGTGATATATATATATATATATATATATATTATTTATTAAAAAAAGG